GAATAATGTGTTTTAGTGACTGCTCAAAAGATTCAAAATTGTAAAATAAATGGTGAGAAAACAGTAAACATTCCTATCATAAGTTTGATTTATATATAAATGTTTGATATGTAAATGTTACAATTGTTTGATATATAAATGTTACAACATATTTAATAAGTGTGTTATACAATGTGTTATTAAAGTTTTTACAACAGTAATGAATGATCACTTGCTATTCTGCTTTAAAGTTTTTCTTTAAATGAATGGTGATGAGCTTTCTGTGATATTCAACAATTTGAAATATTAACTGCCATTCAGCTTCATAAAGTGTTAGCACATTATTGAATCTGTTGCTAACTTAACAGCACGCTCAGCACAGTCATTGGTGACTTTCATGCTTGCTATTTTTTGCTTGGCAGTGAGATAGACAGGACAGAAAACCAATGCAGCTGGATTATGAGTAAGAAAAATAGATTCAATTTTAAGCGCAGTAAACAGATTCATTGATCTTTGAGTAACAAAATCTGACAAGTCTTTCCTGAAAGTTGTCAATTAATTTTGAATCAACTCTTTTGAGATCAGTTTTCAGGAACCAAGTCAGAAAATAATGCAAGTTCAATCAAATCTTTGCTCAAATACAACATATGTCCTCTCCTTTTTTTAATTGCAATATCTGCTACTTTTTTGTCTACAGCAAGATAAGACTCAAGAGTTTGGAGTACACAAAGGTTATTGTATGGAGCATCAGAACTGTTTGGTGCTTTAAGTCAGATTTTTGCATAAATCGTAATAATGAAAAGACAGATACTACAAAGACCTTGTAGTTTGTATGCTGTAAGTTTGAATTGTCTACGGAACAAAGAGATTTTAAGACAGTATATTCCTTTTGCCATCCATTTGGCATGATGAGTCACATCATAACTGGCATGATGACTCACATCATAATTTTCACCCAACGTGATTAGGGTCAGTTGGATGAGCTCCAGGTAATCTTCTCGTGGTTTATTTTTATGGGAGAGTTGATTCCTAAGAAATTCTGACATATTTTTCTTTTTTTGGTTTAGCCATACACATTCACTAACTATAAGTTCAGATTTGACTTTAATGTCAGAGGTTCAAGAATATGATGCCTGCAGGCTAAAAAAAGTAAACGTTTATCATATGCTTGCTGAATGATAGTAATTACACTGGTGTGAACACCAGTGTTGGAACTTGTTGTGTCAAAACAAAGACCTGCCTTTCAACAATACTTCAACAACCGAGTTTCCCATAAGCTCACCAATACCCATGGAAAGTTTAGGAATGGCCAATAGTTTTTCAACATTTAAACCTGAAATAACAATTGGTATCCTGTCAGCCAGGTTTCCATTTGCCTGGTAGAATTTTACTGTCAAAATGGGCAACTAGGGGTTATTTGGCACATATGTTTCTTGAATATTTTGAACTATAGATTTTCTAATTGTTTTACAAGCTCTGTACATTGAGCTTGCAGATAGAGTCATATCTTTTATGTCCATCTCAACAGATTTGAGAACTGGCCCAACAATGTGCATAGCCTGTATCGATGTAGTTTTTGTACAAACAAGACTAGCAATAAATAATAAACTATCAATAACACTTTGTGGTTTGAGTGATAATTTTTTATTTTGTTTAGAGTTTCAATAGGGTGGTTTTCTAATATAACAATCTTTTTAGACTTTTGCTGGTGACACTTGCTAAATAGTAGTTTCTCATCACCAGTTTCTTCATATTCTGAATCTGAATTTTTTTCAACCAATCCAGTTCTGATATATTTTTTCACTTCAGTTGCCCCTTTTTTTCGATGTTCTTCTTGGAAATGTTGATAGACTCATTTTTTTTCACGTTCTTTAAATTCTAAATCTTCTGAACCCATTACCATTTTCATTTTTTCTTTTTGGCTTTTTAAAAACATTATATCCTGTTGAATTTTTATAAGTCTGTCACAATCTGCATGGGCCACATCAAATAGCTTACTAAACTTATTTATCCATTCAGTTTCCCATTTTAACTGTTTTTCAGTTATCCGAGGCTTGTTCTTTCCTATTTTAACATAAGAGTTATACAATACTTTTAGTTTAGCAATAGCATTCCTTTTTTATGTTGTTACAACATTGGCAATAAACCTAATTTGTAAAACCTCATCAATAGTATTCAAACAGCTTTGTAAAAGTTCCATTTTGTTTGTTTTCAATTCATAATAGGGGCGATGTAGGACAAGACGAATTGTGGGTAAACAGCTTGAACAATTTAGTTTATTTATAACTGGTAATTGATGACCAATTAGCCACACATTAGTGTCACATCTTGTTTTAATGACCTTCTTCTTTGACATTTAGATTTTTATTTTTTCACTAAAAATACAAAATATATATAAATGAGTTATTTTATCAAATTTAGTAGATTAGTTGACAAAAGCAGATAAATAAAGTTAATTGAGCTGTCACTTAATGTTGGAATAATGTCATGAAATTTTGTGGAGTTATTTTTTTCATCAATT